GTTGGTCCCCATGAGCAGGTATCATAGACATGTTAATAGTGCTGATAATATTTCCATGCTCTGCACAAGATGATTTATCATTGGTTTTTTCTCCCACTAACTTCAAAGAAAATGGAAAAATAAAGTCTACGCATAAAATATGTTTATTAGGATAACAAAGATAAGACTATACTATTCTCAACAGTGTTGCTATCGGTTTAATATGAAGACAAATAATTCTTATAGGTTATTTTCCATGTTTCGGTGTGCGGTTTATTTATTTTGTAATGGATGAGCAAAACTAATACATTTGAATCAATGTATAGGACATGAAGGTTGTTGTAAATTTTTAGGTTAAAGAAAGTCACATTGGCTATTAATAGACATTTTTATCTGTGAAATTTGTGGTTATTCTATAGTGCAGATATATTCTAAATTTTATGTAAAAATGTTATTCCAATATAAAGAGTAACTAATTACAAATATGGAAATTACTCAAACTGCATAGTTGCAATGGAAATTACTCAAACTGAAATTGGTAAATAGTGTCTCAGAGGAGATTTATTCAACATTGATTTGCACATGATAACAGTATTGTGTGTAAACAAGTTGTTACCTATGAGTAGGCATCATGATAACAATATGTTTATATAATATTGGTAGAGAGGTTGGAATCTGTTCAATTCTTTCCCCCTCACTTTTCTTCTTTCAGGGAAAGGCTCAAGGTTGCATTTCAGGGATATGTTCAGTTGCACGTATAGTTTCTCCCTTGGCTTTCACTCCTTTAACTGGTGAGAGGAATGTCATGATGTCCCATATTAGGTTCAGATTACTACTGAAATTTATTAAGAGCAGTTTCTTTCTCAATTTTCAGCTCTCTTCCTGTCTGAAAGGGCACCTATAAATTTTCCTGGCTTAAGTATAATGTGCATCGGTTTTGCTTCGGTAAGAACAGAACATTGTTGATACCTTCCTTTACTTTAATTTTTATACATATGGCTCCTTGATTGAATTGAATTTTGTTTTGCAGATGGTGTCTTTTGTTCAAAGTATGATGGTTAGAACGGTTCCTCCCATTTTGAGTTAGACGAACACAAATTGATTAAAGTCCTGATTTTATAGATCATGAATATTTTCTCAATGTGGAATCAAGATGTTGAAGTAGTATATTCCTATATGTAGATATTTTTTGTGTGAACGTGCTATTTGTAGATATTGGATAAGCTTTTGTAGTTTTATACTAGTTTGTATGAAATTTAGATCAAAGGATAGGAATGGAAATATTAGTTTCTACTACCATTGTTATTTTATTATGTGGTTAGAATTGGGAAACAAACTAGATGTGCTAGTACAATGTATATAGTGTTGAATAATTCTACCTACACATGTAAGTAAAACTTTTACAGTTTAATTCTAATATTACTCACCCTTCATACATTATTTTTATATATACTTGTGTTTATTCTAACATTCCACATAATGAGTTGATCTTGTTAGAATATTTCAGTACAGAACAGCGGCATCAGCATCTTCTCCTTCTTCTTCCTTTTTAATGAAATATTCATCACAATGGGGCCCACAAATAAAGCTTATGTTTAGCCCAATGCATCTGATGCTCCTTTTCTCAGAATATCTAATAATTTAGTAACATCTCCTTCCTGCAATGCACAACTCTAAATATTTTTTTATTATTAAGGTTGCATTACTGCCAGCACAGCACTGAGCACATCACCTTATTCCAATCTTTCACTACACAACATCATCTTCTTCTTTTTAATGTATAATAGTTTTCGTAATAAATAATATTCCATTCATTCCAATTCAATTATCAAGTTTCACCTTTTTCATTGATCTGTTATTTAAAAAAATATTAATTTTTTCTATTTGATTTGCCCATTTTTCTTATACTATTATACACTAATTATTCAATAGTGTCCTCTTGAAATTGGAAATAGTGTTGATAACTTTAATAGACATAATATGTATGCTCTATAATGTTGGAAATGAAAGCAGAAATTATTTGTTCTTTGAATGTAAAGCTTCTCATAATTGTGGAAGTGATCGTGAATTGGTTGGGGTATGATATTGGATCCAATAATCTTTTGGTTTGGGTAGCCACCCTCCTGAAAAGGGAGATTTTTCTAACAAGAGCATCTGGTTTATGTTCAGTTATATTTTAGGAATGAGTCCATTTTTAACCAATGCAAATTAGATCCTTTCATGTTTGTACTTTACCAACATCAGAAATCTTGAACTCCATTGGTAGAGATCTATAATTAAAATCTGCAATAGGAAAATTAGATATCTTAGTGATAGGTTCCATTTGTCTCTTAGGAGAAAGATTTATATAAAAATTTAGTAGAAAAATGTAATATTTTGAATAAATGTTTTGACTAATTCAATTCATTTATTAAAACAAAATATATATACCTTTTATGGTTGACATAAATAGGTCATTGAATAATGTTACAAGTATAAGTAACCTCTTCTACAATAAATAATATTAATTTTAATCCCCCACTTCCTTTTTATTTCTTTATTTAAAATTTATCCAAAAACTTAATAATAATTAACAATTACCCCCACATTATTTGTCAAAATAATATTATCTTACATCATTCAATACAATTGCAGGCCAAAAAAGAGTGGAAGACCAAAATATACTTTTATAACATGTTGGGTTTGGAATCACCCAAAATAGTTGTTAGTTGTAAGTGGTATAAGGAACATATATGACCTATATCTAAGAATCCCCATTTTATGTTTAATACTAATCAATATTTAATAATTTTAAAAATTCTTTATATTCATGTGGAAATATCTTATTAATAAAAGATGTGATTATCTTATATGACATGGAAGCTCTCCTCCTCTGAATCATGCTTAGCATTAACACGCGTTCTCAAGTTTAAATATAGACTCCAACCAAAACGAGAATGTGCACTTCCTTCTATCCCATCTATCTCATTTTCTATTAACTACTACTATTTATGTTTTCACCCCACAACCTATTACTACCTTATTTCATTACCAGAGAGGCGCGTGGCTTTCGGTTTCATAATTTTGAAACATAAATAACGATGCAGCAGTAACGCCCAGCTATGCCATCTGTGATAGTGAGCGTTTGAATAATCTTTTACATTATTCAAACGCTCCTATCACACTTTCTCTTTCTCTACATTTTTAAGCTGTTAAATCTAACGGTTTTCAACATGGTGGGGATGGGTGCTGATAACAAATCGGGGAACGCCGTCTATCTTCACGGCACCTTGGATTTGAAAATCGTGGAGGCTCGTTTTCTACCAAACATGGACATGTTCTCGGAGCGGTTTCGTAGATTCTTCTCCGCTCTTAATGCGTGCAGCGCTTCATTCACCGGCAAACGGAGGAACCGTAGTCGCCGGAAAAATCGCAAGATCATAACCAGTGATCCATATGTCACCGTTTGTCTCTCCGGTGCCACCGTGGCACGCACACGTGTCATATCTAATTCTCAGAATCCCACGTGGAACGAGCATTTCAATATCTCTCTGGCTCACCCAGCCTCTCAGGTTAGACATTATTGTATGGTTCTCATATAAGTATCAAGGAGTTTAAATATATAAGTTTGCGACTTGAGTTTTAGAAAATGAAATACATTTGAAATCTTTCCTTTCATTTCAAAAATCAACTCGCAATGAAACAATTATATAAAGATAGCTATAGCTATAACCATGTCATCTTATTCATAATAACAAGTAAACATTTCTCTTCTTAGGTCGAATTCTACGTCAAGGATAATGACATGTTCGGCGCTGATTTGATCGGAGTTGTAACCGTCTCTGCTGAGAGGATCATTACCGGAAAAGCTCTATCCGACTGGTTTCCGATCATCGGTTCTTTCGGTAAACCGCCGAAACCGGATTGCGCAGTTTGGCTTGAAATGAAGTTCACTAGATGTGAGGATAGTCCTATCTACAAAAACATCGTGGATCCAGATCGTTTTGCGGTTCGGGATTCGTATTTTCCGGTTCGGCATGGAGGTTCGGTGACGCTGTATCAGGACGCGCACGTTCCGGATTCCATGTTGCCGGAGATTGAATTGGATGAAGGGGTTGTGTTTGAACAAGGGAAATGCTGGGAAGATATGTGTCATGCAATTTTGGAAGCGCATCATTTGGTTTACATTGTAGGTTGGTCAATTTATCATAAGGTGAAATTGGTGAGAGAGCCAACAAAGCCATTGCCTAGTGGTGGCAATTTGAATTTGGGGGATTTGCTCAAATACAAGTCACAAGAAGGTGTACGCGTTTTGCTCTTGGTTTGGGATGATAAAACTTCTCATAGTAAATTTGGGATTAACACGGTAAGTATGTTTTCATGGAGAATGCTAACATCTTAACATTTTAAATTTGTCACTTAGAGCATACTGAACGAATCAACAAATGGTAAGTATTTATATGGAAGTAATCTATTGAAGATTGAAATGTACTTTCTCAATAAACTTATTACTAATTTAGTCAACTTTTATAGTTAATCAACCCTAGATTGTAAAATAGATGATATGTTTGATGGTTTTCGTTATGACTTTTTACATTTGTTACTTCAAAAATACTATATCCTCGTAATAAATTACTATAAAAAGTGAACTATCTGCATGAAACTCGGGATTTTTATATTAAAGATATAACATTACTTATGTTGCTGTTATTTTACATTTAATGAGCTTTGCACATTCAAGATTCATAATCATTTAGGCATTTTGCTTTTAAAAAACAGGCTTTTTTTATATAGAAAAAATCACGTCTCACAATTTTATGTTTATTTGGTTGTACTTCACCAAGAGCATTTGTCTATAATGGAAACAAGGGTTGAAATTAGGTGAATATACAAAAGGTCATTACTCACATTTATGTGTTTGTTTGATTGAGACTACTTTGAACCTTTATCTCGAAAAAAGTTGAAATTCAGCTTTTTTTTAACTTCTCGTTTAAAGTTCCTGCCGAATTATGTTTTGGATAATCACCTTTTCGAGAATCCTGAAGAAGCGGGCCCTAAATTCAATCACTTTGCTTTTATTTTACTTTTAGTGAATTTTGCACATTCATGTTTCTTGAACAGAGATACTGGTTTATTGAGTTTTCTACAACCTTAAAAGTATCATTTGATTGCAGACCGGAGTAATGCAAACTCATGATGAAGAAACTCGGAAGTTTTTCAAGCATTCTTCAGTTAATTGTGTGCTATCACCTCGATATGCGAGCAGTAAGCTTAGCATTTTCAAGCAGCAGGCAGGCTTTATACTATTGTTTAGTATATTTCCCTGATAATGTCATGTTTCTGTTAAAAATGTTCTCTATATTTGATCATACTTTCCGTACTTGCATAAGATAATTCTAGTTTTATATATGCAGAGGAAAAACTTCATTGAATCTTCACATGGATGTGTTACTGAATTAGTGGGCATCTTTTAATGTTATAGTGCACAAGTTCCATACCTGGAATATGTATACTTAAAAGTTAAAACTGTTTCTCTAATCCCTACAGGGATCTTCTATAGAAAGATTATTTTGGTTTTTAGAAATTGAAATACCTATTCACTATATCATGTCACCCCCAACTACAGGTTGTTGGAACCCTCTTCACGCATCATCAGAAATGTATGATTGTGGATACTCAAGGGCATGGCAATAATAGGAAGATAACCACATTTATAGGTGGCCTTGATCTATGTGATGGTCGGTATGATACACCCGAGCATAGAATTTTTCGTGATCTTGACACTGTTTATGAGGATGATTATCACAATCCCTCGTTTTCTGTAAGTTCATTATCTTTGTGGATACTTATACATTACTTAGAAGTTATGAACATTCCTAAACCTAGATGAATAGGTCCTTTTCTTTTGAACAAGACTTTCCGGTTCCTTTTTAACAAGAGAAAAATACATACATATTGACAGTGTAAGAAATTTTTACACCGTCACTGCATCATTAATCATTCATTTTTTATCATTGTTGGCATTTAAATCTAAGTAACATAAATGAATGATGAATGATGTACTGACTAGGTGTATAAATTTTTACACCGACAGTGCATAAATATTACACTTTTTTAACAAAAGTATTCCTCTCTCAGTTTAAAAGCTGCTAGTGATTTCTTAGGCCTAACTCTAAATATCAATACGGGCATTGTTTTAGCATTTGTTTAGTTGTTAATGTGTTAAAGGTCGTGAGATAAATTTTTCATCCCATGCTAGAAATCTAAGAATGTTATTGGCACTTCACATGGCTCGTGCACTCTTACCAACTGATATTTATTTTATCTTCCATTTTAATAATAGGCCGGAACCAAGGGTCCGAGGCAAGCATGGCATGATTTACACTGCAAAATTGAGGGCCCGGCTGCATATGATATACTCACTAATTTTGAGCAGCGCTGGAAAAGAGCTTCCAAATGGTCTGAGCTGGGTCAAAGGTTCAAAAGAGTATCTCACTGGCATGATGATTCCTTGATCAAGTTAGAACGCATCTCTTGGATTCTTAGTCCTTCTGAATCAACTCCAAATGATGATCCTGAATTATGGGTTTCGAAAGAAGGTGATGCTCAAAGCTGGAATGTTCAGGTGACCAGTTCATTGCCTTAAAAGTAAAACTTCTATTTGCTTTTTTTCCCTTTCAACCTTGAATTTGTTAGTTGATATTTATTCATGTTATTTGCAGGTTTTTAGATCCATTGATTCTGGTTCTTTGAAAGGATTTCCTAAGAATGTACTTGAAGCTGAGGCTCAGGTTACTTTAAATCTTTAATAAGATGAATTTATCCAAGATCGAGCTAGTCTATAAATAAATACAACCTTTGGGTTTCCCTGTCTCATTCTATTTTATTGCTTTTCATTGCAGAACCTTGTTTGTGCAAAAAATTTGGTTATAGACAAAAGTATTCAAACAGCATACATACATGCGATTAGATCTGCTCAACATTTTATTTATATTGAGAATCAATATTTCATTGGATCATCCTTTGCTTGGCCATCTTACAAAGAAGCAGGTTTTTTCAGAATATTGGTGTTTATTCATGTAACTTGTTGCATCTTCTTAACTCTGATTGCTCATCATTAATGTATAGGCACCTATGACTAGTACTTAGTATGTCAAGTATGCTTCTCTACTTGTAGCTCTAGAGCAATAACGGTCTTTTGCTCAAAGTGTGTATTGAATAACTGCTTAACACATATGATTAATGACAAATTTGCTCAAAATAATTATGTGTTACCTTAAATGTATACCACATCTGAAAAATCCTCAAAATAATTGCCGTACTGTTTTACCTCAAAGAGATCATGTTCACTATATCCTACCTGATGGATAAGGCCTGATTGTTGTTGTTGATCTTTTCCTTAATTTTGTTTGATAGTAGTATCTTGAATTATCATATATTCCATTCAATGGTCAGGTGCGGATAACATAATTCCTATAGAATTGGCACTGAAGATAGTCAGTAAGATAAGATCCAAGGAGAGATTTACAGTTTATGTTGTTATCCCATTGTGGCCTGAAGGTGTCCCTTCTTCTGTCTCAGTGCAAGAGATTCTCTTCTGGCAGGTAGTAGAGTCTAAAATTTGTAGTTCAAAAGTTTGCATAGCATAGAAACATTTAAAAATAATTTCGTTCACATTTCCAGGGACAAACTATGCAAATGATGTACGAAATCATTGCTAGGGAGTTAAAATCTATGCATCTTGACAATAGCCATCCACAAGATTACCTCAACTTTTACTGTCTTGGAAACCGAGAGAAGTTTAGAACTGATGTTTCAAATTCAAATAATTCATCTACAAATAATGGTGACACGGTAATTATTGAAAATATTTTCTTTCAATTCTGGTGCATTATTAACGGAATGAACCACAAATTAGACGTAATTTTATACTTTTAGCAATCCATACTCATCTCTACAATTTGCTCCTTGTACTAGTTATGCATATTTGTACATTTCATACCTCTATTTGTATATATACAACTTCATATATGCACATTTTCACCATCTAATTTTCACCGGGCCTATCCCTATACTTGAACTCTGTCACAAGCATATATGAGAGGGATCTGTTTATATGTGATCTGTCACAACTCACAAGCATATATGAAACCGATCTTGGTTTAGTTATGCTCTGCAACTAAATCTTTTTGTAATGATCATCAGGTTTCAGCTTCACAAAAGTTCCAACGGTTTATGATTTATGTACATGCCAAGGGAATGATAGTGGATGATGAATATGTGATGCTTGGGTCTGCCAATATCAATCAAAGATCTTTGGCAGGATCAAGAGACACTGAGATAGCCATGGGTGCATATCAACCCCATCATACATGGAGTAAAAAAAATGGACATCCACATGGTTGGGTCTGTATAATAGTTCATAAAATCATGAGAATAAAGTATCTATTCATACTATGAGGAGATACTTTATTCTCTAAAATCATATGCTGCAAAGTTATATAAGTACAAGTTTACTTTCACAAGGACTCATTTAATTGAGGATTTGCAGGTATATGGGTATAGAATGTCCTTGTGGGCAGAACACATGGGGGTGATAAATGATTGCTTCAAGGATCCAGAAAGTTTGGATTGTGTGAAGACAGTGAACAAAATTGCTGAAGACAACTGGAAGAATTACACAGCTGAGGAATTTACCCCATTGCTGGGTCACCTAATGAAATATCCCATTAGTATAGATGCAAATGGGAAGGTAAGCTCCTTACCGGGATTTGAGTCTTTCCCAGATGTTGGAGGTAAAGTACTTGGTTCGCGGTCTACTCTTCCTGATGCTCTAACTACATAGGCCATAGCCTTCTCAATCTCTATGTGAAATGAGTGACTATGCTAGAAAAAGTGAGGAACATGGATCGCTGGAGGCGCTTGCCAAATTAAGTTAAAGTGGTCTTAGCCATAATTTTGAAACATCTTATAGGCTGTGAATTGTAATTACTGATTATACATTGTGCATTGCACAACCTCATTGTAAATGTGTATTGATTATTATTTTCTGGATATATATCAGATGCATAATATACCATTATAACTTAACTCAATCATCCCATCTGACCCAATTACCCAAAGGTTTCAAGAATGATGCTTATCACTGTTTCAGAAGTGCCTTCATTTCAGTAGGAAAAAGAATTTGTATCAAGTGAAGGTTTTATGTCATATTCAGTAGAGTAAATGTTGGTTTTCATCCTATAAGTGTAATCAAATTTGTCGGTCCGTTATAACTTATGAAAGTAAATGAATCACATCAGGGCAATATTAAAAAAAACATGAACTATATGATAAGATGAGACATTTAATTAACAATTACTTGGCCTAAAAAACTAGCTCCTAGCTGAGGAGAATAAAAATATAACATTGTTCATAAAGTAACAATGACTAGAACATAGTTTCAATTTCCATGAAATTATTTGAATTTCCATAAGGAAGGTGTTCCTAAATTAGAAGATAACAATGACTAGAACATAGTTTGCAGCTCTCCTGTAATAGGAGTTGAATATGCAAGGTAGGTAGATATATCTGATGTGCTAAACCCATTGAAGTTGCTCCCAGACGCCGTCGTATAAGCACCCATATTCGGGAACACAAGCCAATCATTAATTTGCAGTTCCGGTAGCAGGTAATCTCTTAGAACAGTATCTAACGAATCACAAGTGGGCCCAAACACAGTTGAAGGGTACTTTTTCACTTCTCTGCATCTTGGATCCTCAGGTTTTGAGTTACACGCGAGTGGTCTGCACGTGACAGTTTGTGAGTCATATAATATGCAATTCATAGAACCATATATCCCATCGTCGATCCAATACTCCCTAACTTCACCTCTCACGCGCTTCCCAATAACTTTGCTCGCTAATGTAAAAGCTGATTCAGCAAAGTATCTACCTGGTTCTCCAATTACCATAATACCCTCTTCATTTCCGAAATATTCCCGAAGACCCTCGTTCACGTGAAACGCAGCATCATCAAACTGGGTCCCACTAGAGAAACCGCCACCAATATCCACCATTTTCATTCTCGCCATGCCTAACCTAGAAGCCACATCGAAAACGGTTTTAGCAGCTGCAATAGCTTCATGATAGGCGCGTGAATCACCACCTCCACTCCCAATATGAAAAGAAACACCAATAACATTCAACCCTAACTCGTGAGCAGCTTCTAGTAGATCTGGAATTTCTTCTTCAAGCGCACCGTATTTGAGACCCAACGGAACACGCGCTCCACTATCCTGTGGTGGTTTGATACGAATAAGTAAGTCACACTTCGGGTGCCATTTTCTTATCTTCTGAATCTCTTCCTTAGAATCAAATGTTGTAACGTTGACACCAACAGTAGCAGCGTATTTAATGTGAGACTCTGATTTGCAAGGGTTCGCATAAACGATTCGGTCTGGTGTGACACCGAGTGATAAAACCGATTCAATTTCGGCTTTACTGGCGCAATCGAAACTTGAACCGAGTGCAGCCAATGTGCCTAACAACGACGGATTAGGGTTACACTTAACTGCGTAAAATGGTTGAACCGTTGGAAGGTTAATAGCCCAATTTTCCATGAGGCTCACAACGACACCAAGATCTAAAACCACGAATGGAGAATCAATTTCTGGTTTTTG